CTTCTTCTTCTTCTTCTTCTTCATCCTCATCCTCTTCTTCTTCTTCTTCTTCTTCATCATCCTCATCCTCTTCTTCTTCTTCTTCATCCTCATCCTCTTCTTCTTCTTCTGCATCATCATCCTCTTCTTCATCATCATCCTCATCCTCCTCTTCTTCTTCATCATCCTCATCCTCTTCTTCATCCTCATCCTCTTCTTCTTCATCATCATCATCCTCTTCTTCTTCTTCTTCTTCATCCTCATCCTCTTCTTCATCCTCTTCTTCATCCTCATCCTCTTCTTCTTCCTCATCCTCTTCTTCTTCCTCATCCTCTTCTTCTTCCTCATCCTCTTCTTCTTCCTCATCCTCATCCTCTTCTTCCTCATCCTCATCCTCTTCTTCATCCTCATCCTCATCCTCTTCTTCTTCCTCTTCTTCTTCTTCATCCTCTTCTTCATCGTCTTCCTCTTCTTCTTTTTCTTCTTTTTGTCTTCCTCTTGCAGGTCACTGCTCATGCGCAGATTTTTTTATCGGTAAAAAATCGGCCGATTTGCCCATTAATTGCCGCGAAAATCGGCCGATCGGCAAAATCGGCCGATTTTTTTCCAACTTTACCGAAAAACAAAAAACGGCCAAAATACCGAAAAACGGCCGACCAAATCGCCCACTAACGATCCGAAAATCGGCCGATTTTATTTTCGGCCGAAAAATCGGCCGATTTTCGACCCGTCTATGGCCTGCATTAGACTTGACGGTGAACGACCTGACCACCACACCTAGATGAGCTTTTTGTACATCCTATTTCATAACTACGGTATTATGAAGTTAAGGTATATGTAAACCCTCACCTTGTAAAACAATTTATTCAGCACTCATGCACATTGGACATTATAAAAACATTAGCAGAGGTAGCCGTAGAATGGCACGTTAAAAACGCGAGTTTTGCCACATTCTTTAGCATTTTTGCATTAGCGTTTTCTTAGTGTTTTTCAGCGTTTGCAATTCTTAGTAAATCTATACTCCCACAAAAGCTTGAGGCTCGAAAACGCTCATAAACACTGGATAGCCGTGTTTTTCAGCGTTTTGCAGAGCTAGGGCTCATGTACGCTGCACCTGATAAACTCACGTTAAGGAGCTGTTCAGCATTTTTTTCAGCAGCCCCTGAACTCACTCTAACGTTTTCCTATGTGTCCATGTACACATCGTCGTTTACAGGCATTTGAGTTTACAGTCGTTTTTTTGAACGCAGAAAACTTGCGTTCAGCAGTCGGTTTTATCAGCGTTTCAAACGCAAAGCGCTTGTAAACGCAGCTAAACGCAGCAAATCGTGTTTATAAGCGCTTGCGTCTGAAAATTTTTTTGAACTCTTCCAGTTCCCGATGTCCAGAGCCTTTTTTAATCATGAAAAATGCATGCAATGCGTTTTCAAGGTACTCAGATGGACAAAACACTGAATACAGGATGTTCCTACCAAGCTTGTCACACATTGTAATGACCAATTCACACCTCAGACCTCTCCCACCCTTGGAAACAAAAGATATGTTAATGCACATTCACACCTCAAATTCCTCATGAAGACCCCCTGCCAGGTGACCTTAATGACTCCATCCACCAGACACCTTTCCCACCCTTGGAAACAAAAGAAATGTTAATGAGCAACTCACACCTAAGCTAATCTCAACACATACTGCTGTCTCTGCTTCTACTCTCAGTATTTCTCTGAAACAGTTAATAATTTACCACTTCTCAGTGCATTCTGGGCATTTGGGAAGTTCTCCTGTGCTGATCTTTAAAAAACGCTTCTAAACGCAAATGCACATAAACGCGTTATGCAAACGTGGCTAAACAGATGTTTTTTAACCTACGTTTTCCAGCAGTCAGTTTCCATTGTTCAGAAGTGTCCCGTGTACATGGGGCCTTAGAGCATTTTTACAGCTGAAAAACTCCTCTTTAAACGCAGTAATTCTGTTTTTTTTTCACCCGGAAAATGCCCCAGCCAAAAAACGCTGCTAAAAACCTATGTGTGCATGGATACGTAGGTAACATGCTGGGGAGTTTACTGGCTGTAGAAAAAATGCTTGATGTCCAAAACAGCAGCTGTAAAAATGCCCAGTGAGCATGAGGCCTAAGTCCTCATGTACACATGTACACCCCCGGTTTTTTTTGTCTCCTTGTAGCTAAACCGCTAAACGTGGCAAAATCACGTGGAAAAGTGGTATCGCGTTTAGCTCTTGGATGTTTATTCATTTGATTGGCCAGAGTATCTTCCATTGACATGAATAAACACCCAAGTGCTAAACACAGCAAGCATTTAGATGCGTTTACATATGTTTTTGCATTTTTGGTCAGAAACGTTCCTCTCCTGAATGCGATTATTCCAGCATTCAAGAGAGCAATGAATAACTGCCCCTAAACGCTGGTAAAAAGCCTATTTGCACATGGACACGCCTAGGTGATCGGAAGCGGAAGGTGTGTCCTTCCTCCCTCCCTTTAGTCTTTTGGGACACGTGACAGATCCCAGAAGACTACAGGACCATTCATGAAGCACAGCGCTACTCGCGCGCATGCGCAGTGGGTATCCGGCTGTGAAGTCGCAAGCTATCACAGCCGGGTGCCCAGACTAAAGATGCCGGCCTCCTGGAATACAGGACGGCCGGTGAAACGGGCTGCGGGGGACACACCACGGGACCGAGGGACAGGTAAGTGGCAGTTTTTTAAAAGTCAGCAGCTACAGTTTTTGTAGCTGCTGACTTATTTCCTGACAGGGTGAGTAAAACTCCGGTTTAAAATTACATTAGATAACAACGCCATTTATATGGGAGACCTCTAACCTCATCAGTCAGTTGATCTCTATGGGAACAGTTGGACAAATGCTGCCAGCACCACTTATCTCATGCCTGAATGAACCCGGGCTGATAATGACCAACACTGAAGTGTTGGAACACCTGAATCAGATGTATAGGCAGGGCTAGGACAAGAGGTGGGCGGGAGGGGCGGCTGCCCTGGGCGCTGCAGTATCATGTGAGGTGAGGGGCAATGGAGAGTGCCTACCTACAAGCTGGCAAGAGTACTGGAAGAGGGAGAATTTTGTCTTGCAAAAGGGATTTATGCTTGGGGGTAATTGTGCAGAGTAGTGCTGACACATAATGCTCATACATTTTGGAGAGGAGGGCGCCATTTGGCATCTTTGCCCTGGATGCTACATAAACTTTGTCCCAGCACTGTGTACAGGGTCCTTCATGCGTCAGCCTGAACTCACAGACACTGTCACTAACATGAATTGAGGCTCCTCAGAGGCGGAGCCTTGAAACATGTTGGTGATGGTTTCTGTGAGTTGAGGCTAGAGGTGGAGGACACTATACCAGGGGCGGGCGGACTGACCATTTGGAAACTCGGGCACTGCCCGAGGGCCTGGGGTCAGTAGGGGGCCACATGAGATGCCCCTGGTACCTTTTTCATAGGCTTTTTTGAGTTTGGGCAAGGGCACAGGGGCCCCATGATCCCCTATTGCCCGGGGGCCCCATGAGTTGTCAGTCCGCCCCTGCACTATACAGCTGATTCAGGTGCTCCATCCATGCAATGACGGTCATTGTCCATCTTGATAAGCAGGGGCGGAGTGACAACTCATGATGGGGCCCCCGGGCAATAGGGGATCATGGGGCCCCTGTGTACTAGCCCACACTCAAACCACACCCAAAAAAGCCTATGAAAGGTACCAGGGGCATCTCATGGGGCCCCCTACTGACCCCGGGCCCTTGGACAGTGCGCGTTACCAAATGGTGAGTCCGCCCCTGTTGATAAGTGATACTGGCAACGTCTGCCATAACTTCTCATCTGAAGCAGGTACAGGAATTATCAGGGTTGGTAGATTATCATGCTTAGTCAAATGTTTCCCTAGAGAGCAGCTGATTCAGGTGTTCCATCCTTGTAATGCTGGTCACTGTCATCTGGGTTTGTTCAGGCTGTCAGAACATTTCCTCTTCCCTGGACGCCTGCTTTTACACAGGGAGTGAGTCAAGTCCACACTGATCCATGCTCTTGCTCTGTGATTGCAATCTGTTTTATAGCATTTGTAACAAATGTTATCTGTGCTATATATTGCACTATACATCACAGTTTTGACACTTCCCAAGTGTTAGCATAGCAGCGTTGCAAGGACTGTGTGGATCAGGGGCGGACTGACCATTCGGAAACTCGGGCACTGCCCGAGGGCCCGGGGTCAATAGGGGGCCCCATGAGATGCCCCTGGTACCTTTTTCATAGGCTTTTTTGAGTTTGGGCAAGGACACAGGGGCCCCATGAACCCCTATTGCCCGGGGGCCCCATAAATTGTCAGTCCGCCCCTGGTGTGGATTGCCTATTTGAACTGGTTTTGTCCATGCCTCACCCCATTCAGGACAGGTGACCATAATTTGTGATTTGTATTGCACTGGTAGGTCATTGGGAGCCATCAACTTGGTGCAGTGTGTTCCGTGTGTGTGTTTTCTAATTTTAGGTGTAACTAAAAACTTTTTTTCATTCTGCCTAGAAAAAGTGAGGGTTATAATCCCTGTATTTTTTTTTTTTTGCCATCTGTGTCCCATTGTAGAAATTTCCTTCACGTATTGTCCCATAGCAAAAACAGAAAGTGACAGGAAATCCCTCTAAATTAAGGGAATCCATTGGGGCCCTCCAGGCCACCAGAACTAGTGTCTCCATTGGAAGATTTCTACCCCCATTACTTTTCTGGAGACAACCCAAAATTGGGATTGGGAATACAGAGGGTGAATCTCCCAAATATGGGGCAGACAGCAACAAAACCTTGATAGTTCAAATCCCTCTCCATTCTATCCAAAACGAAAAAAAAAAAATAGTTTTGCCTTTAGTTATTCCTTAAATGAATTTGTCCGTTTTACTTGGTTTTAGTCGGCGCAGTTTTCAGTCTTCATTGGCAGCAGCACAGCTTAGATGTTGGACAGGACTCCTTCCTGGGCGATGGTGATGCCACCAAGTTGCTTGTTGAGACAGCCAGCTGGAGGTGTCAGGGGATGACACCAGTCTCCTTGTCGCGGGCACCGTTGCCAGCCAGCTTGAGGATCTCAGCTGTCAGATACTTGAGGACGATGGCCAGATACACAGGAGCTCCGGCCTCCATCCACTCTGCATAGCTGCTCTTCTTACAGTCAACACAACCAACTGGGAATTGCAGACCAGCCCGGCATGCTCGAGTTTTGGTCTTAGCCCAAGCCTTACCTCCTTGTTTACTGCATCCAGACATGATCAAAATATAAAGATTGTCACTCAGTCAGAGATATTTTTAGTTTATGTTACATTAGGGACAAAAAAAAAACTGCCACTAATGCTAATACATACCTACCAACTGTCCCTCATGTGGAGGGACTGTCCCATTTTTTGGGCCAGATCCCTCCATAGCTCCTTACTCCTCACTTATCCTGCTCATTTCTTTCTAATGTTTAAACCTCTATAAAATAAAAATGTATTATTTTAAAGTGGTTATAGAGCTTAAACATTTTTATCTTAATGCATTCCTTGCATTACGGTAAAAATGTTTAGGCATCAGTATCCCTTTTCCTTGACCTCATTAGCCCTCATTCGATCCAGCACTGTGCCTGTCTGCAGCTATTCTCTCCCCTCATTTCCTGGTCTTCTGAGGCAATGGGAGCCATTGGCTTCCACTACTGTCAATCAAAGCCAGGGGGTGGGGCTGAGTCCTGCTGTCTGTGTCTATAGATGCAGGCAGCAGGACTCAGGAACAAGCCTGCACAAGTGCCCCCATAGGAAGCAGCTTCCTATGGGGGTACTCACTAAAAAGAAGCCGGGAGCACCGGTGGGGCACCCCGGAGGAGGAGGTTCTGGGCAGCTCTGTGCAATTCCACTGCACAGAGCAAGTTAAGTATAAACCTGTTTCTTAATTTTGAAACAAAAAATGCATTTATGATCACTTTAACTATCACAAACGTTATTCTACACTAGACCTTTCATCCAACATCTAAATTATTGAATTTATTATTTTGAAAAGCCAGTATAAAGGGAAAGTAATAGTGAAAAAAGCACTTGTGAGTTACCATTTTCACATATTAATGTCTATGTAATTGGGGGCATGGCAGGGGTGTCTCCTTTTCCTCCAGAGTTTGTACTGAAAGGCAACTCTCTCATCTAAGAATGTTGGGAGGCATGCAGGGGCGGACTGACCATTTAGGCACTCGAGCACTGCCCGAGGGTCCAGGGTCAGTAGGGGGCCCCATGAGATGACCCTGGTACCTTTCATAGGCTTTCTTGGGTCTGGTTTGAGTGTGGGCAAAGACACAGGGGGCCCATGAGTTGTCAGTCCGCCCCTAGAGGTATGCAACTAATAACAATGTATATAATTTTTAATTTTTCTTAAAGTTCCGCTTTAGGTAAAGTAGAATTCCAGTATTTAATATTGTTTAAAAATGTTCCCTCCTCCGCTCCTGCTACCTAACCTTTGTTAAAAAGATCTGTATCTTTACCTATTTTCAGTCCACTCTGTTTCTATCCCAGTGAGAGAAGAGAGGGGCGCCGGACTGAGTGCAGCATTAGTAGTAGCAATTTATTGGCATAAAAGACAATTGGTAACTCACAAGAAGTATGAACTTATTCACTCCCTTGTTATATTTCGCCTTGACTATTGCAACTCCCTCCTCATTGGCCTACCGAATCGCAGGCTATCCCCCCTCCAGTCTATCATGAACTCTGCTGCCAAACTCATCCACCTTACTAACCGTTCTGTATCTGCCACCCCTCTGCCAATCCCTCCACTGGTCTCCACTCAGTGTCCTCCACCCCTCTCTGCCAATCCCTCCACTGGTCTCTATTCAGTGTCCTCCATCCCTCTCTGCCAGTCCCTCCACTGGTCTCCATTCAGTGTCCTCCACCCCTCTCTGCCAATCCCTCCACTGGTCTCCATTCAGTGTCCTCCACCCCTCTCTGCCAATCCCTCCACTGGCCTCCACTCAGTGTCCTCCATCCCTCTCTGCCAATCCCTCCACTGGTCTCCATTCAGTGTCCTCCACCCCTCTCTGCCAATCCCTCCACTGGTCTCCATTCAGTGTCCTCCACCCCTCTCTGCCAATCCCTCCACTGGTCTCTATTCAGTGTCCTCCATCCCTCTCTGCCAATCCCTCCACTGGCCTTCATTCAGTGTCCTAAACCCCTCTCTGCCAATCCCTCCACTGGTCTCCATTCAGTGTCCTCCACCTCTCTCTGCCAATCCCTCCACTGGCTTCCCATTGCCCAACGGATAAAATTCAAAACATTAACAATCACATATAAAGCCATTTATAACTCCGCCCCAAATTACATCTCCAATCTTGTCTCCAAATATCACCCAAACCGTCCTCTCCGCTCCTTGCAAGACCTCCTGCTCTCTAGCTCCCTTGTCTCCTCCTCCCATGCTCGTCTCCAGGACTTTTCCAGAGCTTCCCCCATCCTCTGGAACTTTCTACCCCAATTTATCAGACTATCGCCTACTCTGGTCACTTTTAGGCGATCTCTGAAAACCTATCTCTTCAAGGAAGCCTATCCTGCCCTCAGCTAATAATGGAATCTTCTACTCTTCCAACCAGTCCATCCCCCACAGTTACTATCTTTTGTACCACTAGCCCCTCCCTCCTAGATTGTAAGCTCCCGGGATCAGGGCCCTCCTATCCCTCTTGTATTGAACTGTATTGTTGCTGTATTGTCTCCCGTTATATTGTAAAGCGCTGAGCAAACTGTTGGCGCCATATAGATCCTGTATAATAATAATAATAAAAAGAACTGACACTGTACTAATGGCACTGGGCAGAAAGGGGTTGCTGTATTGTCTCCCGTTATATTGTAAATCACTGAGCAAACTGTTGGCGCCTGTATAATAATAATAATGAAAGGTTAAGGTATGTCACCCGTGACGTGGTCCAAAGCAATTCCGGGAGCTGGTGGAGGACAGGGGGAGTCCAAGTGTCAGACTGGTGGCTGGAACGGATATCCTGGAACGGCTGGCCACCGCAGGGTAACCAGCGTGGAACGCAAATGGCGCAGGGGCAGACGAGACGTCAATATTGGAACGTGATGATGTAAATGGGAAGTCACGCATTTCGAAGCGGAGCTTCTTCCTCTGTTTCAATCACGTTATCTGCATCTCCATCTCCCCAAAGAGAGGCAGCTGCAGGGGAAAGGAGAGAGCGCCAACAACGGTTGGGACATAGAAGCCTATAGGTGACATCCCCACTCCCGAAATTCCCAGTCGTTGTTGAGCGCTCTCTCCTCTCTCCTGCAGCTGCCGCTCACTAAAATCACATGACTAGACTGGAGTGGTCTAAAAAAATACATGTCACTTTTATACAGGTTAGACAGTACTGGTAGCAGGAGAGGGAGGGGGGGGGGCATTTTTAAATATAGTTAGCGTTAGGCAGGAATTCCACTCTAAGGCTTGTTCATTTGTAAAAAGCCAAGGTTTATAAATAGAGTTAATATATATTCAAAACGGAAAGATAATTCATTCAGTTCTGTGACCGTGGAGTGCCCGCTCCCACAGCACATATCCTGTCCGCAATCTTGGTGACGGACAGCACATGTAACCTTTCCTTAGCCTAGTATGGCGTATTGCAGAACAGGAGATTGCTACGCTGCAAATAAAACTCATACAGTGTGTGGCTGTTCAATTTTGACAACTGCCACACAGCTGTTAATGGATGTTGAGTTTTTTTGTTCACATTTTTTCTTTATGGTTGATATACTTCCTGTGTGTTTCTTTTCTCAATCAAAAAAAAGCCAGCTAAGATCTATTAAGGACAAATGTATCTTCAATGAAATGTCCACCCTCCCCAAAAGGTGATCGTGTCAGGTAAAAAAGGAACTTAAAGCGCATCTTCGCCCCCAGGGGAGACTTCCCTTCTCTCCACTTCCCTCCCCTATGCTGCCAGAATAGGGATGTCATTTGTTTTTGATGTTGTTTTTTTTTTTTCTCATTAAAAAAAGGCGGTGACGTCCCACCCCCCCTACACATTATTCGCCTAGGTGAATTCCATTCACTTCCATGCGTCTTCCTTTGTCTCCTGGGATATTATTATTATACAGTATTACAGTCAGGTCCATAAATATTGGGACATCGACACAATTCTAACATTTTTGGCTCTCTACACCACCACAATGGATTTGAAATGAAATGAACAAGATGTGCTTTAACTGCAGACTGTCAGCTTTAATTTGAGGGTATTTACATCCAAATCAGGTGAACGGTGTCGGAATTACAACAGTTTGCATATGTGCCTCCCACTTGTTAAGGGACCAAAAGTAATGGGACAATTGGCTTCTCAGCTGTTCCATGGCCAGGTGTGTGTTATTCCCTCATTATCCCAATTACAATGAGCAGATAAAAAGTCCAGAGTTCATTTCAAGTGTGCTATTTGCATTTGGAATCTGTTGCTGTCAACTCTCAAGATGAGATCCAAAGAGCTGTCACTATCAGTGAAGCCATCATTAGGCTGAAAAAAACAAAACAAACCCATCAGAGAGATAGCAAAAACATTAGGCGTGGCCACAACACAACTGTTTGGAACATTCTTAAAAAGAAGGAACGTACTAGTGAGCTCAGCAACATCAAAAGACCCGGAAGACCACGGAAAACAACTGTGGTGGATGAGCGAAGAATTCTTTCCCTGGTGAAGAAAACACCCTTCACAACAGTTGGCCAGATCAAGAACACTCTCCAGGAGGTAGGTGTATGTGTGTCAAAGTCACCAATCAAGAGAAGACTTCACCAGAGTGAATACAGAGGGTTCACCACAAGATGGAAACCATTGGTGAGCCTCAAAAACAGGAAGGCCAGATTAGAGTTTGCCAAATGACATCTAAAAAAGCCTTCACAGTTCTGGAACAACATCCTATGGACAGATGAGACCGACATCAACTTGTACCAGAGTGATGGGAAGAGAAGAGTATGGAGAAGGAACTGCTCATGATCCTAAGATACCACCTCATCAGTGATCATGGTGGTGGTAGTGTCATGGCGTGGGCATGTATGGCTGCCAATGGAACTGCTTCTCTTGTATTTATTGATGATGTGACTGCTGACAAAAGCAGCCGGATGAATTCTGAAGTGTTTCGGGAATATTATCTGCTCATATTCAGCCAAATGCTTCACGACTCATTGGACGCTTCACAGTGCAGATGGACAATGACCCAAAGCAGACTGCAAAAGCCACCAAAGAGTTTTTTAAGGGAAAGAAGTGGAATGTTCTGCAATGGCCAAGTCAA